CCTTAGAGTCAGGACGACCTGAGTTCACATGCTGGCCTCAGACACTTGACACTTTTAGCTGTGTGACTGTGGGCAAGTCACTTAACCCCGATCGCCTTCCCAAAAAGCAACAACAACAACAACAATGAAAAATGCCACTCTTTTCCGATTACACATCTCTGTGAGACCAGATTTTCTTTATACATTTGAACAAAAAATAATGTGTTTTTGCTGTAGCTGGGAGCTAGCTATAGAATATTCAAGCCACTAGGGGGGAAAAAAACAGATAAAGATTATCCCTAAATCTTAGATGATCCTCAGAATATCCAAAGTAGGTAACTTTTCATAAAAACATGAATTAGATCTTTTAATTGTAGAAATCTGGATTTGGTTCCAGTGCAACAATTAGGAGAGTTCTCATAGTTCTGAATGTTCGCACAGAACTTTGAAATTTGTAAGCTACAATTCAGCAGTGCAAAGTGTGGTCAACATGTTCTTCCATTTATGGGAATCGGCTTTTTTGTGGTGGTGGTTTGGTTTTGTCTGTTTTAATCTTTGGCTCTTTTTCTTTTTTCACGATTTTTTAATTCCTTTTTATGGGTCCCAGAGGCTATTTGGGAAGTAGGTAGCTACATCTATGTTTTGTGGGATTGATACTAGGGAAATCACTCAAGATATCAGCTTTGGAATCTTTACTAGGAGGGCTAAAGAGTAAGGAAATCTATCCTGGTCTGGCAAGAGCAGGGAGAAAGTTGTTTCTTTATCAGTAAAGTCCCAATGTGTCCAAGGTACCTCTAAAAGAATAGCTTGAGGTTGTATTAGGGGAAAGTCATCACAGTGCCTTGCCTCTCTCCTTTTTTCATTTACCTGAAACCATACAAAGAAAAAGTAGATCTTAAGTAGTAGAAATTCTCTCAACCAAAGAGATTTTAATTCCTTGTTATGAATTTTAGAAAAGTGAGGAAGAGATAAGGGCAGCACACCAATTCCTAAATTTCTTAGTGTTAGAGCATCCTATTATTTATTTGGTTTCCCAGGGCCTAATCTAACCCTCCCTAAAAGAATGGTAGCTTTGATGTCCATCTAAAGATGCATCCTACTGAAAACCCTATTCTGATGCCTCATTATGATATGAAGATGACCCGGAATAGACCAGCTTATCATAAATGTTACCAAACTGAAAAGCCTTCCAGTACAAGCCCTGGGATTTCTGACCTTAGCAAAGCAAATCCTCAGACAATGTCTGAAATGCTCATCACCAGGCATGGTACAATACACTTATATCGTAGTCAGAGGAACTGGGTTCAAATTTTGCATCTACCACTTTTGAGCTGTGTGACCTTGTCACTTAACCTCTCTCTAGGCTTCTGCTTCCTCATCTGGAAAGTGAGGGCTTGAACTAGATGGCCTTCTAAAGTTTATTTCATTTCTAAATCTACGATCCCATAACCACAGGGCAATAATTGCTTTTTAATAACAATAACTCTTTAAAATTATCAACCAAGTTATGGAACAGCTCTCATCTGCATCATTGGAGGAAGTCACGGGCCATCTCTTTGCTTCACCCTAATTGATTCTCTATTGCATCCCATGGAACGGCTCTTCCAAACCTTCTCTTCCCAATTCCTCCTGGCGCACTCCCAACCCTGACACCAGATCTTAGAGCCTCATATTCTACTGAAAAAACAGGCCGTTTGCTTTGAGCTCCCTCTTTTCTTGTACCCTGCATCTCAAAACCATTTCACATTATCCCCCATTCCCTTCTTTCCTCTGCTCTGCTGAAGAGGTGATCCTTCTCTTGAGCAAAAAGCCAGTTGTTCTATTTGTGTCCTTGGCCCCATCTTCTTTAAACAAATTGCCTCCTACCTTCCCCCCACCACAAATCATGTTCTCTGTCTGATCTGCAGTTTCTCCCGGTCTGCTGGCTCATTCCCTACTGCCTACAAACATGCCCAGGGTCTTCCTCTTCAAAAAACAACAGCAACCCTCCCTTTACTCTACCATCCCCTCGGGGTAGCATCCTATGGCACTTCTTCCTTTCACAGTCAAACTCAGGGAGAAAGTTGTCTACACTCGTTGTATCTCCTTTGTCTAGTCCTCACTAACTTCCCAGCTCCTTGGAGTCTAACTTTTAGTCTCATCATGCAACTGAAAAACTGCTGTCTCCAAAGTTACCAAGGATCTCCTAATTGCCAAACCCAGTGACTTTTTCTCTATTCTCACCCTTCTGGACCTGTCCAGCATTTCACACTCTCTTCCTAGATATATTCTCTTCTCTGGATTTTCATACTTCTTCCTCTTAGTTCTTTTCCTTAGTCTCCTTTGCTTTATTTTCATTTATTTACGACCATTTAACTGTGAATGTACCCCAAGGCTCTGCCCCAGGCTTCTTCTTTTCATGTACTCTTTTATTAGTTCCCCTAGGTCTAATGATCATGATTCTCAACACTCTATAGTCATCCCTTTAAGCTTTAATCCCTCATCATTAAGTGCCTATTGGGCATTTTGAACCAGATGCCCCATAAACATTTAAGATTTAACATGGCCAAATTGTTAAATCTCCCCCCACCCCCAACCTCCCCTTTTCCCAAGCTTCCCTATTTTGTCAAGGGTACCACAACCCTTCAGTCACCCAGGTTATCTTGTTTTTATAATTAGATGTTTTGTCTTCCAACTGGACTATGAACTTTTTGAGGACAGGAACCATATCTTATACTTAACTTGTATCTTCCACAATAGTTAGCACAGGGCATTGCACACAGCACTTAGGAGATGATCGAAAATTTATATAAAGGAATGGCCTCGAGGAAAGACCACCTAGGTAGATGCTGTGTTAAGCTACAATATAAAGCAAAACTAACTTGGACCATGATGGAGGTTGTGAGAATGGAGTCATATTGAAGTTAAATATGGGATAGAATAAGACAGAGTAGAGGCTACTATTTATGTTTGCTTTGCTTTATTCAATAACAATAAAAATACAGCAAATGTTATTAAACATTAAGTACATGAACTGAATGATGTAAAACTATAATAACTAAGCTTGGCCCCAAAAAGGAGACATGAGAAAATACCTCTCCCTGTGTAAATATAGAGGTGGGGGTCCATGGATGTGGAATAGTGCATATAACAGTATGTGTGTGTGTGTGTGTGTGTTATGTGTGTGTGTATATATGTGCATATGTGTATGTGTGTGTGTGTATCTCTCTCTCTCTCTCTCTCTCTCTCTCTATATATATATATATATATATATATATATATATATATATCTCTAGGGTGTATTCAGGGTATGTATAGTGTAGGGTGTGTTCAAGGAAGAATAGCACCTCTGGTGTGAGGGCTGCTGAGCCCTTTTCGGGGATGCTTTTGACCTTTGGGGTCCACCTGATCACCCAACTCTCATCTATAGTACCAAAAAGTTGTAGCATATGCAGCAGCCACACCCTGCTAAACCTTAAACTAAGCTGAGGCCTCAAACCCTTTGGCAAGTTAGGGAGAGTATCTCCCCCAAGCGTGTGAAGGCTTCCCCCACGGAATGGGGGATGGGGGATGGGAACAGTTTGTTCCAATGGCCACGAAGGCAGCCGAAGCAGGCGCTGCAGAGCACTTAGAGCTTGGTTAGACATCACAGATGCCAAGGTCATCCACTGCATCCCGAGCCATAGCCAGCTGTCTTGACTTTGTCTTGTCACTGCACTCCAGTAATTCTGGAAGACAAAGTGAGGCTGATGACTTTGTGCAACTCTGCCTCATTTAAATCCAATTTATGCACTAATTAAAAGACATCACCCATACCATTTTACCATTTTTACCTACTTCAAAGTCCTGTGGCAACAGGCAAGTGATGAAGCAGCAGGTGTGGGTACACTGGCATCTGTAGTCATAACCCTGCACACAGGCAGCCCAGGCTTAGGGTCACCTTCTCAGTGGACTGAAGCAGCCATAGGATGCAGCAGCCCTCTGGGTGTCTGAGCAACCTTTTTAAAGGCCTGCATCACTTACTTCCTGGTGTGAGGAAGGGGCTAGAAAAGGTGCCCTAAAAAACTGTCTGCTTCACCCATCCCTGGCCTGCTCACCAAAGCAGATGGGGATCCCACCCTGTGGTTGAAACATAAAAAACACACACAAAATATTTTGTGAAATTAATACCACTCACCATCAGTGCGTGGAGTGTGTACACACTCATGGACATGGGAGACACTGGCAAAGCCCAGCATGGTGTGCCCGCATCAAAGAAGACACTGTGCTCTATGAGCAAAGCAGAATTGCAGTAGCTCAAAAAACACATGAGATACATAAATTTAGAGACATCTACCTCCCAAATGTTCATGTGGACTATCTGTGCCTGACCTGTGGTAGAGCCTTCCAAGCTTGGATGGGTCTGATCAGCCTCAGTTGGACACAGTGATGTCATTTTGATTCTCTTTGAGAACGAAGGACAACAACCAGCCAACTCTGTGTGTGTGTGTGTGTGTGTGTGTGTCTGTCTGTAACAGGCTCTCTTTGGCTTTTAAAGCCTTCGTAACTTGGCCCTGACCTATCTTTCCAGGCTCATGTAAATCATTCCTCCTCCAAACTGTCCTTTCCGTTCCATATGACATCCCATCTCCCATCTCCACACCATGGCACTGTGTGTCCCTTGTGGCTGGAATGCCCTTTCTCCTCATCCCCCAACCCTCCCATCAGGATGCAGCTCAAGTGCCACCATTTCACCCGAAGCCTTTCCTGATGCCCCCACTGACCTTCTCTCTCTAGAATTGCCTTGTATTTAATCATCTTGTATTTATTTGTATTAAATCTCTTCACATTTATTCTGGAGATATCTGTAGAGATATAGATATATTTGTCACTACCGTTGCCCCCTCCCCCTCCTCCTTTTGACTATAAGATCATCAAAAGTAGCGATTGTTTCATTTTTTCTGTTTGTTCTGCCAGCACCTGTCACAGCGCCTGGCATATGGTAGGAACTCAATGAATGATTTTTGATTGATTTTATTAACTTCTTCCTTTTGTCCCTCCAGGTTTATATCATCAAAGTTACTTGGTCCAGCGGTTCCACTGAAGCCATCTATCGACGGTACAGCAAATTCTTTGACCTACAGGTAAAGATCCTGGCACCTCAGCGGTTGGCCTCTAGCCAGCACTAATTCCAGAGGAGGGGTTGCTGGGAGGGAATCTGTCTAAGCGGGTTTCTTTTCCGCATGCTACATGTTGCTCTCCCCTTTGGAATCTGGGCGCTCTAACCGAAGGATCAGAGGGGTTTCATTTTCTTGGGCTTTTTAAAATGGCACCTTTATTTCTAAAGTTTCCTTGATAGAAGAGAACATTTAAAACGCTGCTTTGGCAACATTAAACATTTTAATTATCCAAATACAAAACACACAGGCCAAGTAGCTGCCTGTGTCAACGTGAAGATACAAAATTGTGGATCATTCATAAAGCCTCAGCATGGCTTGCAGAGCGCTAGAGCGTCCCCACAGGCATCCAGCCTGACTCTTCACTTTACAGATAAGCAGTCTAAGGCCCAGAAAGGTCAGGAGGCTTCCCAAAGACCACACCAGTAATAAGCAGCAGAGCCAGTATTGCAGCCCGGGCCATCTGATCCCAACCCAATATGAGGCTTTGAATTTCTGTTCGAATAGGGATCGTTGTGGGTTGTTAGCTCAGGTGGTCTCATAATTCATTAGCCAGTATTAACTGAGCACCAATTACGGACCAGGCAAAGACAAAGAATGCCTTCAAGATGCTGACATTCTGTACGCACATGAGCACGTAGAAAATGATTTGGAAATGGGGAGCCACTGGCGACGGGGGGGATCCAAGAGGGCCTGATGTGGGAGCAGAGTTTGAAGGATACTGAGAATTCCAAGAGGTGAAGTTAAGGAGGGACTGTGCTCTCGGCACGCGTGACAGCCTACACAGAAGCATCAGAGGAGGATGGTGGCGTATCATGGGTGAGGAGAACAAGATGTCCACCTGGGCTGGTCCAAGAACGAGTGAAGAATACCGGTGAAACCAGGGCCGCTGATTTAGTTCCCCATAGAGGCCATTTAGCTCTGAAGGGAAGTAAACTCCACGCTCCATGGTCACAGATTGAATCCCTGAAACCAGAGAGCTGTTTTGCAGTGCACACCCTCTGACACAAGACAAGGAGAGAGAATGTGTCTGAAGTCGGTGCAAACCCAACCCTGAGTACTAGAAAAAATAACTTGAGGCGCGTGTCTTTCTGAGGGTTGGTTGTTAGCATCATTTACCTATAATGAAAACACAACATAAGTGAAAATGGGTGTGACTGACATTCTGGGAATTCATAATGCTTTTTAAAACAAAATAATGAAGTCATTTGCTGACTCAGGACAAGTTGAAGAGCTGTTTAGAGTTTTTCTGTGTTCAGTAAACACAGTCCAGGGTGAAGACAAACAGCATCGGCTTTCCTTTCCTCTAACCTTACTGGTTTTCTGGCACACACTTTTCCATGTTGAGGAATGTAACTGAGTACTCTGGTTTTAAAAGGCCTGCTTTTTGCTAGACCAGCATTTTCCTGAGGAAGGAGAAAAAAAGAGAGCACTTTTAACTCAAGGTTCTATCACCTACTTATTTAATTCTATCAATTAGGAGAAAAAAGCCAGATTTCCCCCAAATACAATCCACAGTAATAAGGAGTTTACTCTACCATAAATAGCCTCAGACTTCCCTATCTTAAAAAAACTTTTTAAAAGGTATGGCTTGCAACATGTTCTAAAGATTAACAGATGGGCTGTTGGACCTAAGAAGGCATGGAATTCCAAAGGCGTCGACTCATCATGGAAAATGCATTTGTCTCCAGCTCCCCAAAGTGTAAATCTGGAAATGGTTAGTGGAAATGCACCAGCTGATCTCAGCTGCTGCAAAGGAGCAGATAGAGAGAGCTGATCCCTAAGGTAATGATTCCCAACCCATTTGTAGGTGTGATATCCAAATGTGAATGGATTTCATAAGATTCCCTCCCTTCCTACTCTCTCTTCTTAACAGAGATGTTTAACATATATATTTTTTAAATTAAATTAGAATAAGTTTAGTTTGAAGAATTTGGTAATTTTCTAGGAACAGTTCATGGAGGGCATATGATTTTCTTTAGCCTTTTTCCCTTGCTAGAATGCTGTCTTCATTGCCCACTGCCCCTGTGTAAGCTTCCTCTCTTCTGAACTCCAGTAGTATTATAATCTATACCACACAGTTTGATAATATCCCTTGTTAGGATGTTCTCTATATCACATGTTATTCTTTTCTGTATTATGCTGTTTTATAAGTACAGTAAGTGTTTGCAGGCTGCATACCTTCTGTACCATGCTGTATTATAATCCTTACTACAGTCCTTTTCTTGCCTCTCAGAATCCGTAGCTTCAAGCAAAACTTAGCCCTGATGGCATCCCCTCTTTGAAGCTTTTCCCAGTTGCCTCTCACTTTTATGCTCCTTCCCCCTCAAATTATCCTGTACAGGGCATTCCACAAATCTTGCAGCTTTTATAGGGTATTCCAAAAGCTAAAGACTTTTGGAACACCTTGCATTTCTTTTTTTGACCACATAGTGTGGCACCCAGTAGAATATAAGTTCTTTGAGGGAGACACTAGTGTTCTTTTTTTTTTTTTGGCTTCATATCTCCAGGGCCTTACCTATAGTAGATGCTTAATAAACGTTTGCTGAACTGAATTGAATAATTATGTCGCCTTCACAGTTCTGTGAGCTCATCGTAGGTATTCGGTAAATACGTGTAAGGTTGGTTTGAAGTAGTTTCTTCACCTTTGCTTTAAAATTCACCTCCTCAATAAATCTTGCCCAGATAAACTTGCCTTCCCTTTGGGGAGGCTGCAAGGTTAAGGGGTCCTCGTTCTGACACTAACTCAGCACAGTATCCTCAGTAAGTCACTTTACCCCCAGACCTCAGTTTTCACCTCTCTAAAATGAGAAGGTTGGACAAGATGACCTATGAGGTCAGCAGCCATCTTTGACATACTCTGAGTTCTCTGGAGGATCACTCCAGCCATTCTGTGATCTACACTGCATTTTTGTATGTAATGATACAAGCCATGACCACTTGTCACAACCATGTTGCTTGACCAGTGCTTAGGTGACTTACACTTCAGTGAGTCTGTGGTATCATTGATGTGACATCTCATTCAGTGAGGCAGATTGTAACCCATCCACGCCTGCCCAATCCCTGTGTTTCTTGTCCCTATCGCCCTGTAAGTTTACCATGAGAGAATGAGGAGGGGTTACCCAATGTGTTAGGGCCTTTCCTCATTTTCTTCTGATGTTATGGGGATGCTAGTGATGTGCACGCACTGACCACTGCTTACACTTGGTTCCCACCTTGGGACCAGCTCACTCTTTTTTTTTTTTTTTGGCAATACTTTCTTTGCTCTGTGTTGCAGCTTACACACCCTGTACACCTCCCCAATGCCCGTTGCGTGGTACACATTTTTAATTCTTTGCAGACTAGAATCTCCTCTGACTCACAGCTATACAACTGATAAATCGTTGGCACTAAGAAGATTGGCCTTTGTTTCTGAGAGAAGTTTGGGGTCATTTTCAAAAGGCAATCCAGCACACTCTCCTCTTCCTGTTTAAGTCTGGGCCCAGTGCATGGTCCCTGTATAGTATCTGTCCAAGACATGAATTCAGATGGACAAGCACTAGAGGTTGTCCGTCCAACTATGCATTATAATCTAGATAATAGGCATCCTTTTGGTTCTTCCTGTGTAGATGTGTAGGGCAAACTCTCTTAAGCGGCTATTGGTGGCACTCTAGGGCTTAGTGCAGCCCACATAATTCAAGAGGAGTATTTGGAGGACTTTATCACTTATAGGAAATTCCTCTTCAGCTTTCCTCCCTACTAAATCTGCATGACAGTGGTGAACACCTTTGATGACCTTATATCTCTCTGTTTTATGCTTCACCTGATATATCAATAATCAGCAGATTATAGGTCACTTCTGTTGTCATCTTTCATAGAATGTTTTTTTGTTTGGGGATTTTATTGGAAGGCAGTCAGGATTAAGTGACTTGTCCAGGGTCATACACTTAGAAAGTGTCTGGGGCCTGATTTGAACTCAGGTCCTCCTGACTCTAGGGCTGGTGCTCTATCCACTGCACCACCTGGCAGCCCCACCTTTCATATTATGTTGAATAACTTTGATGTATGCATGTAAGACATTTTGTTGGAATGAAAGAAAGATCCCTAACATGAGGGATTCAGTGGACCTCTGAGATAGCCCAAGAAGAAACTGCAGTACATCAGGTTCAGGGTCTCCAGCCTATGGCTTAATTGAAATAAATACCTAAACATCTCAGATTCCTACAGCAGCTTCAAGAATCTGTGTCAAAGAATCCAAATGTCTTTAACGCAGTATTTTGCTCTAGTGAATCAAAAGTTTGTTGTTGTTTTAAAGAAATCAACAAACAATAAGTACAGTGAGATCTTGTATTCTCTAACTTTTCAGTTATTTGTGCGATAGTAAAGATACCATACGGGACAGCTAGGTGGCACAGTGGATAGAGCTACGGCCTTGGAGTCAGGAGGACCTGAGTTCAAATTCGGCCTCAAACACCTGCCACTTACTAGCTGTGTGACCCTGGGCAAGTCACTTAACCCCGATTGCCTCGCCAAAAAACAAACAAAAAAAAGAGACACCATGAAATGGTGCTTGCAGATCTGACTCTTCCTTCGTTGTGAATGCTGTCAGTTCGTGTGGCTGAATTTAATAAGCTTTTTTGTAGATGGGAAAGTAGATATAGAGGTTGGTGGTGGTTGATATTCCCTGTCTGAGTTTGTTTTTCATGCCTTTGGCCTCCCCTCTCTTTCAAATATCTCAGTCAACATCTTCAAAATTGTATCTCCTAGCACACATAGATTCTACATATTTTGGCTTAATCCAGCTGCTTCTCTTATCTCGCTTCTCTTCAGAGAACCATTTCTACATCCTCTGAAAGCACACTTGGCACTGAAAGACTGGAGTCTGAATGTAGTTGTTCTGCTGTCCTTGATGGTTAAAAAAATGGCTACTGGAAAATCTTTGCAGTTCTTTCCCATTTTTCTTCCATTTGTTGTCCTTCCATTTTTAT